CAAAATGGCCATTTGCTCTGGGGGAACTGATCTTGGCCATCTGGAGATCCATTGTGATAGCAGGAGATCTCCATGTACCACCTGGAGGCTGGCAAGCCACATGATAAACCCAGGCTCAAATCCATGCTGATTCCTACAGGATTAAAAGTGTGGCTATAATACGGAGGGAAAGGCTCAGTATTTCTTGTGAATGAAGATCTAAATTCTTATATAGAGTGGAGAAAAGGGGGTCAGGACTCCAGTTTGATTTAATGGTTCAGAGTGTGGACTGTAATCTGGGAGAACCCAGTTTGAGCCCCCACTCCTCCACATGCAGCTGCTGGTGTGACCTTGGGTCAGTCACAGGCTCTCTCAGAGCTGTTTTGTCAAGAGCAGTTCTGGAAAGACCTCTCTCAGCCCCACCTACCTCACAGGGTGTCTGTTGTGGGGAGGGGAAGGAGATTGTAAACTGCTCTGAGACTCCTTCGGGTAGTGAAGGACGGGGTATAAATCCAATCTCTTCTTTTATTCTTCTTGTTCGGCAGGACTGGCATAAAGATTAGGCTTCTTGGGACAGGGCCTTGGAAGGACTCGCTCTTTACCAGCTGTAATGATTACTACCTGTATTTATATATAACAGAGATGGTAGATAGTTCTCAAATCGAGTCAATATCACCTAATCTGGCTTTAACTGATTCTGTTCCCTTAAACGACACCTTAAATTAAACACTGTTAATATAGAAACTGCCCAGACCTACATGGCCCAGTCTAGCCTGATCTTGTCGTTTCTCAAAAGCTAAGCGAGGTCAACCGTGGTAGTATTTGGATGGGAGACCAGCAAGGAAGTCTGGGGTCACTACAGAGAGGCAGTCGATGGGAAACCACCTCTGTATGTCTGCCCAGACCTGGATGACACAGGCTGGCCTGATCTCTTCAGATCATGGAAGCTAAACAGGGCCAGCCCTGGTTAGTGTTTGGGTGGGAGACCACCGAGGAACACCAGGATCATGACGCAGAGACAGGCAACGGCAAATTACCTCTGAACGTCTGTTGCCTTCAGAACCCTCTGGAGTCACCATATGCTGGCTGCTACTTAAAGACACTTTCCACCAGCAGTATAGAGACTGTACAGAGCTACCAAATGTCCTCAGCCTGGACTGGAATTGTGTTTCTTGTGTGATGCTTTTTGGATGGACTTGGAGTGTGTGGGGGGGTGTCTGTATTTTGGTGAGAGAATGGAGGACATGGACTGCATAGAGCTTCCCAGAGATGGGACCATGCTGTCGCTCAACACCCCAGTTATAAAATTAAGTCAATTGCCTGCTTTCGTCTCCCCAAGATTGGACCTTAACAGGTCCAGCCTGTGGGCTGAGAAGATCTGTTGGTGCAGGAGAGGCTGTGTGGTAGGCAGTTCCAGTTGCACAGCGGCCGCTGCTGATCTGGGCTGGGTTGCATAGAGGCCAACAATGCCAGGCTAGGCCAAGTTGTGCAGGTAGTGAGTTTCTGGTAGTTGCTGCTGGGCCGGTCCCTGTTAAATCATCAGGAGAGATAACCGGGGGGGGGGGAGGGCTTTCCAGGGCTATTTCAGCCTTCCAGTCCACTTCTCTTCCCCCCTTCTTGCTCCTGATTTACAGGAACCAAGGCTTGGAGGATTGGCAATATTGTGGTTGCTTAGCAACACCCAACAGCCACTGAGAGTCCAGTGGGCATTCTTTTTGTAAAGCTACAGGAATGGTCTCTGTTATTTTGGGGAGTCCTAATTCTACAATGAGTTTCTCTGGGCCTTCCTTAAGGTTTGTAGTGAAGTCCTCCCAGTCCATCCCTAGCTCCATTTTGCAGCTCTAGTGATCATATCCTCTCTGGTGGAGATAGGTATATTGATTCCTCTAGCTTGTCATTAGAATGGGTTTTTTTGTGGAGGGGGAAATTTTGCTTGAAAGTATGAACACGCAGGGGTTTTTCCTGGGGGAACGCACTGGAATGGAGTTCCAGAACCTCTTCAACAAAATGTGTTTAAAAATGTTTAAATGTTCATGAGTTTCCAGTAAATAGATTGAAAACTTCATTTCCCTCGTGAGAGTTCCAGCATGTCTTTTTCAAAAAGAAAAAAAAAAGGAGACAGCCCTGTGAATACATGAAGCTGCCTTACACTGGATCAGGCCCTTGGTCTATCAAGGTCCGTCTTGTCTTCTCCAGGGGCTCAGGTCGAGGTCTTTTACACCTGCACTCCATGGCATTCAGAAAGTCAAAGCCTGTTATGTAGCTAAATAAGACACTAAGGCTGCAGTTGTAAGAACGGTTTCATGGGAGTAGGCCCCCACTGAATAAAATGGGACTTTCTTCTGAACAATTCTTCTTAGGATGGTTCTGCACATATATATATTTACCCATGTATTTTGCAAAATTCATACCTTGCCTTTCTGTCCTCATCAAGGCCACCAACATACTTAATAAGAATCACATCATAAAACCCAGGGCTTTTTTTTGTAGAAAAAGCCCAGGAGGAACTCATTAGAAGGAACTCATTAGCATATTAGGCCACACCCCTGAAAGCAGAGCTCATTCGCATATTAGGCTGCACCCCCATGTTACCAGAAGTGTGGTCATCCAGCCACACCCACCTTTTGCTTCTTATTCTGTTTACCTTGTTTGTTGTCAAAACCCAGGGCTTTTTGCATGTTAGGCCACACACCCCTAATTGTAGCCAGTCTGAATGGGTTTCTGCTGTTGGGTGTGGCCTATTATGCTAATGAGTTCCTGCTAGGCTTGGCCAACTTGGGAGCCAGCCGGAACTCCGTTCCTGTGTGTTCCTGCCCAAAAATAGCCCTGATAAAACCATTAAAACCAATATCATTAAAACAATCAAAGCCAGAGCTAAAACACACACACAGACATAAAAACATCAATTAAAATGTTGGTCTGGAAGGAGGGATCACTGAAGGAGTGTCAAATGAAACCAAAAAAAAATGTCTTCCCTCGCTGGCAGAAGATGGCAACAGAAGGGGCTCTCTCTTCTTGGGGAAAGAGCTAAATGAAGAAAGAGTTAAATGATTAAATGACAGTTTTGGGGGTTTTTTAGGTGGCAAAAAATGGGGGGTTTTGGGGGGAAGACCACTCAGGAAGAGCACATTCAGGTCCATTTTGATGCACCAGACAGTGAGCTGATCAAACCCGATAGAGAAATTTGATGGTAAGAAAGTGTGTCAGATTTTATTAGCAGAAAAAAAATGCATTTATGATCTAAAAAGGAATGAAAGAATTTTACTGTCTGCTGAAAGTACAGGTTACTTTCTTTTCCTTTCGCACACAATTAGCTACCGCATGAGTAGCTGAAATGTTTTGACTGCTCATGGAAATGGAACAACCATGCGTTCCATTAGCATTTCCTTTGCACGTGAAATGTGTCATGCTGTTCTCTCGCTTTTCCGACGAAAGAAACACCGCACATGCTTCCAGCACCCGTTCGCAGCATCAAATGTAAGGTAAGAGAACAACCGATTTGTTCAATGCAAGATCCACTGGCAAAGGCGGTGAAGCTTGGGCACACAGAATGAGAGGCCAACTCAAGATAAAACAAAGTTCTTCTTCATAGTATAACTTGTGGAACTCACTACCAAAGGAGGCAATGACGGCCAGTAGCCAGTGTGTTGTGCCATCGGGTCGCTTCTGACATATGGCGACCGTATGAATAAATGACCTCCAGAACATCCAGGGCTATTTTTGGGCAGGAACGCACAGGAACGGAGTTCCGGCTGGCTCCCGAGTTGGCCATGCCCAGCAGGAACTCATTAGCATAATAAGCCACACCCAACAGCTACATTAGGGGTGTGTGGCCTAACATGCAAAGGAGTTCCTGCCACAAAAAAGGCCCTGGGTTTTGACAACAACCAAGGTAAACAGAATAAGAAGCAAAAGGTGGGTGTGGCTGGATGAGCACACTTCTGGTAACATGGGGGTGTGGCCTAATAGGCTAATAAGCTGTGCTGTCAGGGGTGTGGCCTAGCATGCTAATGCGTTTCTGCTGTTGGGTGTGGCCTGTTATGCTAATGAGTTCCTGTTGGGCTTTTTCTACCAAAAGAGCTCTGAGAACATCCCATTGTTAACAGCCTCGCTCAGGTCTTGCAAGCTGAAGGCCTTGGCTTCCTTTATCGAGCCATTAGCTTAGAAGGCTTCAAAAGAGGATTGGCCAAATACACGATGGAGAGGTCCATCAATGGCTAATAGCCATTCTAGCCCAATGGAACCTCCATGTTCAGAGGCGAGTAAGCCTGTGAGTAGAGACAATGGGGGAGTTGTCCTTTCCATGCCCTACTTTTAGATCTTTCAGAGATATCTAGTTAGCCACTGTGGGAAACAGAATGCTAGTTTAGATGGACCACTGGAGTGATCCTGCAAGACTCATATCACTTCTCGGCTTTTTCTCTCTCTCCATCCAACCCTTAGCTTAAGGTCTGGGTGATTTTGCACTAGACTTTCAATCCTGGTTCAACCCTATCCCCAAACTTACATTCTACACTACACTTGAGTTCACCCCTGTAATTATCTCGGGGTATTTTTTGTTTTCACCTTACATTGAGGTCACCCCGGTTTCACCCCACATTTGTCCCGGAATAAACAGATGTTGTTATAACCAGGGATGAATGCAAAGTATTGTGCCATGAGTTGAACTCTGATAAAACCAGGGATGAGATCCAAGTGTGGAAAGGACCTTTGTTCTCATCTGGAATGGAAACGAATCCTAAGAAATTAAAAGGGACTCTGCCTAAATTTCAGCTCAGGGAGGTGTCCCGAGCTTGGTCACATCAGCTCAAGGACTGCACAGATCCCAAAGTTTGTGGCAAATGCCCCCATGAGCTAGCTCTGGGATTGTGCAGCTCTTTGGTGTCTTAAAACATCAGTCTTGTAACGTCTTCAGCACAACATGACCGTAGGTGCAAATCTGTGTTTGATTCAGAAAGCTCATCTGTCTTTTTTCTTGTCTAGATCAAGTAAGGAATAATACATCATGTACTCTTATCTACCTGGGAGGACATTCCATGACATGGATAAAGAATTGCCTTGTCATCCTCCTCGGCTCCTTGGTCCAAGCAGTAGCCACTGGCTTTGCTGTTGCGTACCTGAAATTGAAACCAGGAGAGGTTAAGAAAGGCAGCGGTTTTCCTTATATGAGGGATCATTCCCATGAGTGTAGCTCACGTTCCAGTGCCCCCAGTGGATCAGTTTAAACGTGCAGTTGGATAAAGTGTTCCCCCCGGAAAAGTGCTCCGCTATGGCAATGGCTTCCGACACCAACATCATGCACTGTTGTTCACTAAATAAAGTTCTGCAATGGAGGAATTGCATGGCAACATTATGGTTATATCCCTGAACAAAGTCAGGTGGGCCAAGGTAGCAAATCCAAATGATGTCACAAGATATCCCTTCTGTATGATCAGGTGCATCGGATTCAGACAGAAGGGGGACAAATGTTTTGAGAAGGGGGTGCATTTGGAACGGGTCAAAACTCCCTTGAAAACAGTCCTTTTTCTCCAAGGCATCCTGGTCCTCGACCAGGGCCAGAGCTTTTTCGGTCCTGGCCCCAACCTGGTGGAGCTCGCTGCCAAAGGACATCAGGGCCTGCGGGATCTCATGCAATTCTGCAGGGCCTGTAAGGCAGAGATGTTCCTCCAGGCATTTGGTTGAGGACAGTGACGGTTAGCATCATGGCTGGCACCCTGCCCTGCCCACCTGGACCCTTCTTCTGTATAGAACTTATTCCCCCCTACCAGATATGGTAGGAAGCTACAAAATCTCGCCATCTGTTTTTAATTATAGTATGCTATTGGACTGGTTTTTCTGTCTTTTATGTTTTTAGAACTCTTGTACATCGTCTAGAGCCCCACAGTCTGTGGGGAAAGGCAATTAATAAATGGAAATAAATAAATAACTAAATATCACATGCATTCCATCAACACTCTTGGAGGCAGATCGATCTGAGAGACACTGACTGGCCCCCAAGTCACCTGGTGAGTTACACTGCAGAGTGGGGATCTGAACCCAGGCCTCCCCGATCCTAGTTCGACACTCTCATGTATCATTTTTGTCCTGCTCTTCTTCCAAGGAGCTTGGGGCAGCATGCGTGGTTCTCCTTTCCCCATTTTGTCCCCACGACCACCCTGTGAAGTAGGTCAGGAGGAGAGTGTGTGACTGGCCCAAAGTCACCTTGTGAGCGTCACACCAGAGTAGGGCGGCCAACCTCCAGGTGCGAAGCTGCGGATGTGCTATTGATAGAAGTGGAGAAGTTATGTGGCTTTGACTGGTAAGAACATAAGAACATAAGAGACGCCAATGCTGGATCGGGCCAAAGGCCCATCTAGTCCAACACTCTGTATCACACAGTGGCCAGAAATACCAGGTGCCATCAGGAGGTCCACCAGTGGGGCCAAGAGGAGGGATTGCCACATAGAACTTTGAACGGATGAAGAAGTTGTCAACTGGAGGTTCAGAGTGACTCTACGGACAGTTATTTGACCTGAGCACTTTGTTCATCATAGAGGAATCACGTGTATTGTAGAATTCTTTGGTATCTATCAATATTAAAAATCTTTACAGTAAATACATAGAAATGTCCATAAAATAATATCTTAGTAATTATTTCACAGTTGTTTGTATAGTTTGTATTCGTTGTTCAGCCTCCAGGTGCTGCCTGGTGATCTCCTGCTATTGTACCCGATTTCCAGATGATGAACAAGAAGAAGAGGAGGAGGAGGAGATTGGATTTATACCCCACCCTTCACTACCCAAGGGAGTCTCAGGGTGGCTTACAAACTCCTTCCCTTTCCCTTCCCCTCCCCACAACAGACACCCTGTGAGGTAGGTGGGGCTGAGAGAGCTCTTGACAGAAACTGTTCTTTTCCAAGAACAGCTCTGACAGAACTATGGCTTGCCCAAGGTCATCCAGTAGCTGCAAGTGGAGGAGGGGGGAATCAAACCCGGTTCTCCAAGATTAGAGTCCGCGCACTTAACCACTACACCAAACAGAGACCAATTCTCCTGGAGAAAAATGGCTGCTTTGGAGGGTGGACTCTGTGGCATTGGACCCAGCTGAGATCCCCCCCTCCCCTCCCCACCAAATCTCCAAGTATTTCCCAACCCGGAGCTGGCAACCCTTTGCCAGAGTGGAAATCTTTCGTAAATCCTGGTCTGACGCAATAACCACTATTCCGTGCCAGCCGTCACCTGGCTTCCACTCAACCTACTTGAAATCTGGTCCGCTGGCACTTATTAAAGCAAATAGGCAGGGAAACACTGTGGTGGTGCTACTCTGAGAGAAAAACACACTCTTTAAAACTCTTTCACCCATCCTGACACTCCATTAATCCTTCTTTTGGGCATCTGAGGGGCTTAATACAGCTTTCTCTTCTGCCAAGGCACACACGGATTATCCTCACCGGCAGCAATTTTAAAAGGGCCGATAACTTGAAGCAGATTTTCTTTGCGAAGGGAATGACATGAAAGATGATGAAGTCGAAATATGCACTGTAAACAGCCCAGTCCAAATGCTGCTCTCAGTAACACTGATGAGAAATCTGAATTCAATCTATTGGCTGCCATCCATCACTTTGGGAGCATCGCCCAGAGATAAGCATGCATAACTCTGCACAAGGGTACAGCGAGAAGCAGAGCCGCTCAGGGTAAGGTTTGCAATGGCAGGGACTGGGACCATATGCGCAGCTGAGTCCTGATTGAAAATCCTGCTCCGTTCAGTGGGACTCACTGGCAAGCAAGTGTGCATCGGATCCTTTGTGTATTCATATCTCCGCATGTGTCATGTTGCATAGAGATTGTTCTGTATGCTCATGCACCTTTTTGCATGTGCTTCAGCGAGGAGGGTGGGATATAAATTAAATAAACAAACAATTTAAAAAATGCATGGAAGCACCAGTCGTATTGTGGCCGCTGATGCCCCACAGTGGCAAGAGGGCCTCTGGGTTGCAGATCCCCCTGTATTTCCCTTGCCCCAGGCCCTGGGGTGGCCATTTTCCACTCTGCACCAACTAGGGTTCCCAGCTCTGGGTCAGGGAATTTGGGGGGTGGAGCCTAGGGAGGGTGGGGTTTGGGGGAGAAAGGATCTCAGCACAGAGTCCACCCTCCAAAGTGGACATTTTCTCCAAAGAAACTGATCCCTGTAGCTTGGAAAGCAGTTGTAAAATCAGGAGATCTCCAGGCCTCACCTGGAGGTTGGCAACCCTCACGCCAACAGGGGAGCTCCTTCAGAGGGCTTTTTAAGACAGCATTTTGGCATATTGATATACCGTTAATATGTCAATCAATATGTCAATTTCCTATTATTATTATTTTAAAGAAAAGAACAACCCTCAAAAAGCACACTGGTGGTACATGGCCACCATGGGGACTGGAGGAAGGGGGACATCAGCTGTCCTGTGGGAGACCGGTGGGAAAATCTGGGCTTTTCTTGCCCACAGAGGCAGCCAGCCCAGCTTTGCAGCGATCTTTTCCCCAGATATTTCCAAAGATTGAAGAAAATAAAAGAAAAAAACGTGGAAAGCCCGGGTGGTACCCAGAAGCACCACAGTGCTGCGGGGAAGTGGAGGGGACAGACTGCTCCCCAAAAGTATCCAAGCCATGCCGAATACCACATGTGTGTAAGTGACCTAGAGCCCTGCATTGAATCTATGGGCTGCAGTCTACAAGCTGCACGTCCTGAGCACAGCAGGGAGGTCATTTTTTTCCTTGCTGAGCCAGTCCATAGTTGCCTTTAGGATGCAGATCACTGGACAGAGCTCTTTAAGTTCAGCTGATTTGTTCTTATGTATGGATGTGCCGTCAAGTCACTACCGATTTAAGGTGACCCCGGCAAAGGGCTTTCAAGGCAAGTGAGAAGCAAAGGTGGTGTGCCGTTTGGCTTTCCTCTGCAGAGCCTTGCTTGGTGGTCTCCCATGCAAGTCATAATAAGAACATAAGAACATAAGAGACGCCAATGTTGGATCAGGCCAAAGGTCCATCCAGCCCAACACTCTGTGTCACACAGTGGCCAGAAATACCAGGTGCCATCAGGAGGTCCACCAGTGGGGCCAGGACATTAGAAGCCCTCCCACTGTCGACCCCCCCCCCAAGCACCAAGAAGACAGAGCATCACTTGCCCCAGAACCCCTATCTATACCTTGTGGCTAATAGCCACTGATGGACCTCTTAAAGGCCATCCAGCCCAGCTCCTTGTTCAGTGCGAGAAATCCAAAGCTGAACTACACCTGATAGGTACCTGCCACTGCTGCCAACCACACTTCCTCAGCTACCTAGCCAGGTGGACAGGGCAGCAGTGACAGGCGAGGCCTGAAGAACAGTGGTTGCTTCTAGGGTTGCCAGAGCTGGGTCGGAAAACCTGGAGATTTTGGGGGTGGAGCCTGAGGAGGGCGGGGTTTGGGGAAGGGAGGGACCTCAATGTGCAGAGCTCCAGCAGTAAAGAGCCCAGGGGGCGGGCACATGCAACAAGCCCCACCCCCTGCTCCCAGCAGCCCTCAGTCAGAGCAAGAAGCAGCCAGGTAAGTTGCAGAGCCTCCCCCACACCCACCCCCAGCTCAAAACAGTCCAGCTGCACCTTTAAGACCAAGGTTTATTCAGGCACAAGCTCTCCCTCCTCTGCGAGGACAGATCTGCACATTCCCCCCCCCAATAGCTAGCAATTCAAAACAGTCCAGTGGAGCCTGAGCGGTGGGTGTTGCCTTCTGACACACTTCCGGTGATGTCAGGGGGTGTGGCATATGCAAATGAGTTCTGCTAATGAGTTCTGCTAATGAGCTCCTGCAGCTCTTTTTCTACGAAATGACCCCTGCCGTAGCGTCTACCTCCCACCATGGCCCTTTTCTCAAAGAGAACTGATCTCTGTTGCCTGGAGATCAGCTGTTAATCCCAGGGGACCTCCATCCACTACCTGGAGACTGCCAACCCTATGTTGCTCCTGATCCTTGTCACTGTGACCCGTTTGCTGGCTGACCTGAGTGGGTGGGTTTTAATCTGGGAGTAGTGGGCGCTCTGGATGTGACAGTGGGGAAGGAGGAGCTGCCTTCCCCAAAGTGTTTATCTTCTGGCTCTCTGGGTGGAGACCAGGGTTGCCAGG